GGAACTCCTGAACAATTATTGTGAAAAACATGCTCTGAAACTGAATCCTAAGAAATCATTAGCTATGCTGTTTTGCGCGAAGCATATTTACGAAATGATTAGAAATGAAATTATTCTTCATATTGACAACGTTCTCATACCACTGGTTACTGAAGCTAAGAATCTTGGACTGATAATGGATATTGACTTCAAGTTTACGAGCCAGGTAAATAATTTAGTAAAAAAATCATATCTGTCACTAAAAGTCCTTTTTGTAAATAAAAATATTTTGAATTTTTCCCTAAGAAAGAAACTGTGTGAAACTATCGTCTTGCCAATTCTTCAGTATTGTCTTATAATTTTTTATCCTTATCTAGACTCAGTTACTAAGACAAGATTGCAAAAAATACAAAATACCTGTTGTCGTTTCATCTATGGTCTCAGAAAATTTGATCATATCAGTCACTGATTTCGTGCACTCAGATGGCTAAATATTGAGTTTTTGTGGAAATATCATTGTCTCATTTTTGTTCATCGTTTGCTGATTACGTCAATTCCAATCTATTTAAGAAACAAATTAATATTTCGTAACCATCAACATAATGTGAATGTAAGAGTTAACAACACATTGGATATACCACGCCATTCGACAGCTTTGTACCAGAAATCTTTTTCTTATAATGCTGTGGAATTGTACAATTTACTCGATTCCTCTTTCGAAATTAATGTTATTCATTCCTTCAAGAAACGCCTTACATTTATTGGTCGAACAAATTGCCATTTGAAATTAAACTATATTTATTTACATTCATTCATTATAGAAAAATTGAATAATTGCAAGTCATCTGCACTTAGTGATTAAAGTATGTTAAGTTTATGTATTATATATCATAAATGTGCAGGGTTAGGTGTAAGAGTAGCCATGATGGCTAAACTTCGCTCTGCCAAATGTTTGTATAAACATTAAATCAATTAAAGACGTTTATTATTATTATCATTATCATTATACCTTTCTACCTAATGTTGAAGTAATGGGCTTGCTGAATGATTTGTCAATATTATATCACAATGTTCCTGAGAACGAAAACTACTCAGTATATCAACATTATATTGGTTCGGAAAATTTCTGAGAAACTCACGAAATACAATCTACCCTGAATAACGTTTGAAGGCATGATCGAATGAAATAGTTATTTATACACAAAGGTCCCGTGGTGATGATATTCTTTACTACCAAGGTGTATATACATTTTTTGTTCACCAGTAGCAATATATTTCAATCATTATAGTTCTGTGAAACTGGAATGTGGACCTATATCACTATGAAAGAACTTCCTTTCAATTCCAATTAAAATTAAGTCACCATAACAGCATATGACAAGTCATTATTGATAAATACTTACTAGATTCGAGTGGTATTCCTGTGTATATCGCATCAGAACAGTGAATTCGGGTTGATTATAACAGAGGTGGCTATGTATTTATTGACTAAGTAGTGGTTCATGCAATGACGAGATTTACCTTGGTAGTGAAAACACACTTTACGCCTTCAAAAGAAGTGGAATGGTGGAAAAACATGCAAATACACATCAACTTTGATTTCTAGGGGGAAATAATTCGATATTGATTTGTCATCTGTCATGGCTTCCCCCTCTGCTTGAGAACCACCCCTTCAAGAATTTGAGATGAGAAAAAGTAGGGAGTCCTGATCTCCAGTCCACCCCTACCCCTTCACTTTCCTCCAAACCACGGCTAGCCAATCACAGGCTAGCTTGACTCGGCTAGTTACCCGCGGCATCGTGAACGGCGCGAAATTCAAAGTACGTAACGACATCATCATCGACTAAATTAAGAAAAAGCTGCTAGTGGATAGAACCTGTGACCTTTGCATTATGAGGCAATGTAGCTGTTGAACTTTGAATTTATTATTTTCTTAAATAAGATATTTCATTTTAGTAACGCCAAAGAATTTCAGTATCTGTAGGAATTTGTATTTCAAATTTTGAATTGATGTACTTTTTTGTGGTAATTTTATGAACTTTGCTCTTGTAGGTAACTCTCAAATCTCAATCTCAATCTCAAATTTCGTGGCGTATCTATAAATTCTGTATTTCTAAGATCAATATGAAATTATTATCATTATTTTCTCTGAAATTAAGTTGACTATTCTGAAAATCAATAGACTATTCTGAAAAACAATTGACGCTTTCTGAAATACAAATGACTATTCTGGAATGCAATTGACGCTTTTTGAAATTCAATTGACTATTCTGAAATACAATTTAGGCTTCCTCAAATTTGATTGACTATTCTTAAATACAATTGAGACTTTCTGATATACAAGTGACTATATTTTGAAATGTAATTGACGATTTCTGAAATTGAATTGACGCTTCCTAAAAATACATCTGGAAAAGGTGTAGTTAAAACGGGTTTTCTTTGAATCTATTATATGAATCCGACTTGTGCCGTCCAACGCTAGCGTCATCTAGGAGAGATAAATCAAATTCAAGGTGTGACTCGTTTACCCATACAAATATACTTCATTTGCAATCATTTTATATGAGAAACGGTTTTTCATATTTTTCGAGCTGTTACAGTCTTCTTTTTAACCAACGATATGTATTATGTGTCTTGAACTCAAAATGAAAAGGTCAATCGAGCCGTTTGGAAAATATGTAGATTTTTGTGTAACCTTCCACTACTATCGTGGGTTCATATAACATAAATACTAACGTCGGACTCACAGTCCACACATCCGTTTTGATTGAGAAAAGAATGAAAACCATGCAAAACTAAATCAGTCTTGATAAAAATATATGGAAACATTCAATGTAAGTACATTTAGGCATTTAGAATGTGAATTGTTGTGATCTTGAATCTCTTCATCATCATCCTGCAAATTCGAGTCGTCGTCAGATGGCAGTATCAATGTCGACGTTAAGTTTGCGAAGGTATTCTTGCACTGTTTTGTAACTTATTTCAAGCACTCTGTAATCCGATATATAGGTTCAATACTCTCCAGGAAGGAGAAATTCATCAAACATATAGTCGGGGCTTGTTTTGCGAAAAGCCAAATCCTAGAAGCATTTCATGTAACAATTGGATAAATGACGTTAACCCCCTATTTCGACCCCGCTGAATCCGAAAATACCGTTTATCAAGTCGAAATTCCAACCGGAAGTGAGATATTCAAGATGGCGTCCAAAATACCCCTAAAATCTAATTATTTTCTACTTTCGGTCAGCTATACGATTGAGGTGTCGATGTCTATGTTTTCGGGGGTGTAAAATACGATGAGACACTCAAAAAATGATTTGGAGCATTGAAAGTTCATCGAATGATCAAATTTTGACGAAATAGACCAAAATTCCAAAGAACTTGTTAAAACGTGTTGCATAATGTATATGCTTGCATACGCTTTCGAGGGTTTAATTGCGGCTGGAAAATTGGTGATGGACGGTAAGTCCCAATCTTGATGACTTTGCTACCTATTCCCAAGTCATGTCCCGAATTTGGAGCTTGTGGCTGCATGGGGCTCTCCGGCCACTGCGGCACGAAGCAGTGTGGCTGCAGGGAGCCGAATGGAGCAGGAAAGATGAGGAAGACTACTAATAGTGAACTTTTTTTTCCAAAATATAAGAAATGAAGGCTTGGACAATGTTCAGATGCTTTTTTGGCTCATAAACGTATCGAGCACCCTCGAAAACGTATGCAAGCATGTACATTATACAACACGTTTTCAAGCTCTTTGGAATTTTGGCCCATTTCGTCAAAATTTGATCATTCGATGAACTTTCAAAGCTCCAAATCATTTTTTGAGTGTCTCATCGTATTCTACACCCCCGAAAACATAGACATCGACACCTCAATCGTATAGCTGACCGAAAGTAGAAAATAATTTGATTTTAGGGGTATTCTGGACGCCATCTTGAATATCTCACTTCCGGTTGGAATTTCGACTTGATAAACGGTATTTTCGGATTCAGCGGGGTCAAAATAGGGGGTTAACAGCATTTATCCAATTGTTACATGAAATGCTTCTAGGATTGTAGAGGAGGGCTTTTTTTGGAATTTAGCCCCGACTAATATTCACCTAGACAAATAACCATTGACACTAAACGTGCGGAGTGACAGTCCGCATAAGAGCCCAACTCGAACGTGCAGCAACCTGCCCCGTTAATCTCTCAACACTATTTTCGGGACCCCAACGGCAACAGATCCTTAGCCATACAGCCGCTACTCGGAATCTTAACTTTTGGCGGTGCGGACTCACAGTCCGCACGTTCGTAACGAAGGGTTAGAAAAAGAAACTTGGTGCTGAATTTTGGCATACGTTGTATAGCTGTAGAACTGAAAACATTTCAGGTAGAATGGAACTGATCGATCATGACAGCATACCAAGTTTCAAGTTTTCAATAAAACTAAAAGTTGGAAAACTTCTATTGTGGGACTACGTGAATTACCTTGTATATGGATTCAACTGAATATTGTTGTTGTCATCACTCGAAGTTAAAAACATTGATATAAAAAAAAGAGTGCCTACTCAATAGAATCATAAGAGATACATATCAAATAAGGATCGCTAACCGAGTTGGATTGCCACGAATCATCATATAGGGTGTGCAAAATTTTCTGGCAAACTTTTCAAATTTCAAAGCACAATATTTTTCTTAATTCGAATTGGAGCCCCTGTATATTTTCATGTCATTTGATGCGTGAATAAAAAGAAAACTTTCTTCCTATTACAACCCCATCGAAATTCTCATCGTATATCATCGCATCAAAAGTTATTTGCCGAAAACCCTGTATATGCATTCAATTGAATATTGTTGTTGTCATCGTTCGAAGTTATAATTATTTACCATAATTAGACAGCGAACCCAGGTAGTTCTTAATAACCTTAGACCCATAACACTTTCATGGTGAACTTGACGATTCTCCACAAGGCTAACGAGAATCGAATCGTTATAGTCCATAGTTGGTACCCGAATCATTCCGCATAAATCAGAAATAACCATACAGTTCGACATGATACCCAGAGCAAAACTGTCCAACGCCGCAGTAATTGACGTTGAGAATGTCTCAGCCGGAAAGAACACAGCCAAAGAGCTGGTGGAGAACACCAGAAAAGCCTTCAGGAGCCAGAGGACGCTGTCCTATTCCTTCAGGCGAGAGCAGCTCAGGAATCTGCTGAGGTTTGTAACTGAAATTTTCCATACTTCAATTCTATTAGTTTCATAAAAAATAATGGAATATTTCTCTTTGCTTTATTGATGAAGGATTTGTGATTCAACTTAGGCATACATACCGGGTGTCCCAAGTTATCGTATACATCGCTTATTTGACAATACAATAGAAAAATCCAGGAACTGCATTGAATGGCATCGAAGTACCTTCCCCATGACATATAAAAAAATCGATCACATTTGACAGTTCTCTGGCAGCTATCCCCTAATTTTTATCTTCAAATGGCACGCCCTGTATATTGTCATTGCAAATTGCGTGCCACCCTAAAAGGAATACAACGATAGCATATTCGTAGTATTTTTTCATTATCGTATCAAAAACAGCAACATTTAATGAAGTATGAATTTCAACTGAAATAGCTTTAATGCGAATCAAAAAGTGAACTAAAAATCACAGCAAGTGTTCAAAATTTTTATAACATGAGAAGCATCAGCTTCTTGAAACAAAAAACATGAGTGGAGGCAATATTATATTTTTATAAGGATAATTGAGTAACTTGAAACAGGTCACAAAATGTTGATATCGTTGATATCACTAAAAAAATACCAAGTATTGTATTCCAAATTGAATGACACGTAATTTCCAATGACAATTTACTATTCATTATTGGCCGAAACGACTCATATGTCATATCTTAACTTTTGATTTTCTATCTACTAACATTCAATTGCAACAATACAGGGTGATTCTTTCACACAAAAAATCTTAATGTTGGAACACCCTTTATTTCTGTAATTATTTCTGTTAGACCCCTAGTGTGATGAAATCAACTCTTCAGAGACAATATAAAAATGCATTGAAATTGAGGGTATTGAAAGAATCAATAAGCAGTACCCTGTACATCGTTTGTTCCGACCTCAATGTATTTTCCAAAATAAAAATGATCAGAAATCATTTCAAACGCTTCTGGAATCGGTTGAAAAATAACTGTGCTAGAGAGGGGAACATTTATGGTGAATCACCCTTCACAATTGTGATTCAAAAGTTGAGTGGGTCCTGAATTTTTTTTCTGTGACGGGAATAAATTTGACATTTCATCTCTGGTGACAGGTTATGAAATGTCACTTTTCATGAATAACTTTCTTCCGTTAGAACAAATTAAGTTCTTCGTCTCCGTGAAAGAACTGCAAGTCATTTCATTTCCCATTCCAATTCGCGGTTACGTGAATCAAAAAACAACCACTAAGTTCGCAATTTCTCGAGAACAAATCACAGAATTTGACTGACAGATATTTTGATTACCTCGAAAGAATGATAATGCAACGCAGGTGTAATTTCTGTCAAAAACAAAAATTTCACGTCGATAATTTTCGGATTTCAATATAATATAATATCTTCTCAATATTGATTAGTCCTTTTTCGTGTCACAGAAAATATCTGTTTATTATACACAGGAAAAATATTAGATTTCAGCTCACAACAACAATCTATAACCTACAACTCTATTCCCTTGTATAATAAATAACTATTTTTGCCAATCGAGTCATTTGATTTTTTCTTTTCCAACGAACCCATAGTGTTTCTCTGATCAAATGCTGCCGTTTGCAGGCAATGATTTGTTTGCTTCAGGATGATATATGAGTGGAAAATAAAAGGAAAAATATAAATATACACCGTGTCCCAGCTAAAATGCCCCCCTTCAACCGCGCGATCGATTTATTTGAAATTTGGTCACCCAGTATATTTGATGATGCTTACTCGCAATATCCTATTGAATGAATCGTATGTCTATCATGGTCACACCGAAGTGCACCTAAACTTTTTTATTTGGATAGGGACCCCCAGTATATTATTTCATATTCGAGTAAAAAAATCTACAGAATACCAGGTTTGATAGGTTCTTTTCAAAGGACTACAGAGTTATGATCAAAGAACTATTCGAATATGGAAGTGGAAGAAATATTGACCTGTAGCTTTGTTTCCGATGATAAAGTAATGACAACAATTTGACAGTGAATATTTGTGGGGCTACTTGAAACACCAGGCGTGAGTCGCCAATTGTAAAGATGAAAGAAATAAAAGAAAGAATCACAATTTTTCCTCAATTGAATTATTTCATTTTTTTCTCGTATCTTCGTATAGCCGCTTTGAAAAAATTCAATCAAACCCGGTATTGTTGAATTCGTGATAATTAGCTCTACTTGTATATAGAATAATATAATTGGTGTCCCTATTCAAATAAGAAAGCTTAGGTGCACTTCGGTGTGACCCTGTATATATACATACGATTTATTCAATAGCACATTCCGTATAAGCATCATCAAATGTATTGGATGACCAAATTGCAAGTAATTTTATCGTGCAGTTGATTCAGACATAGATTCTAGGAACAAAAATAGTAAAAAAAGATCATATTGCACTATGAAGCACTATTTTTGTTGAGCAGCAGACTTTTAACATCGATTTATCTCGAAAATGGTGAGTGCTATCGAAACTAAAAATGATAATATTTACATATTTCCTGATCAAACTGCCAAAAATTGCATAGAAAAAAATGTTGGCGGAAGAATTGTCCCTAGCCCCACCTATTCCCCCCCTTCAAAAATTCGGAAAGTTTCCTCATCACAGAGTATTTCGGAAATATTCACATCATCTCGGGCCCTCTTTCAGATGGCTATAACTTCCCAGGGGGGGAATTTCTGGGCTCATGTTTATATGCACTTTTTTTACTATTTTCCTTCCTAGAATCTGCGGTTGAAATATTTCTATTTAATTTCGGGACACCCTATATGTGAATACGAATATTTTAGGAGTAGATTGAAGATTTATTGTTGTTGGGTCCGTATTTCTGCAGCCATACTGGTGATCTCACATAGGGTATCTTTCATTCAAGAAATTCAATCCTTTTTTATTATTATGTATTTTGTATCATGTATTATCAGAAGGGAATATTTTTTTTGTTGAGTTACAAGAGCACATAATATTATTGAGTAGTTATTTCAAATCCTCAACTGAAAACCGATTTGTTTTATTAGGAGATATTGAATTTCTTAAAAGAACAGATGGTGTGTCTCAATGATTTGAGTAGGTAAATGAGAATAGGTTTTCAAACAAGAGAATAAGATGGTCTTGATGGGTAGAGTTATATTTAAATAGGAGCAAATTTCAAAACAAGAGCATCGCTCATTTTGAAATGATTATTCAGATCTCTCCAAATAAGCGATACACTGAATTCGATGAAGATTCATTATATTCTTGTTCAGAGTACTTGTTTGATCTTTCCAACTATGTGGAAATATTTTCTTGGAGTTAGGGATTTTCTCAAGCAGAGATTGAATTCATTCCAAATAATCTTCATTGAATATAATGGAGCATTTCTCTTCAACATATTCATGGATTTTCTTTGAAGCTGCGTCAAACGAAGGTAATATTGTTTCGTTTCAAGGAAGGAGTTGAATTTCAAATCGATATGAATTATTTCCCAGTAGAAATATTCCTTTGTGAAAATAGGAGATCGCAGGTATTCGGTTGGTTTTTATTTTCCCTGTGATCTATCTGATGTAGGTTTGTTGTTGAAAATAAAAAATCGAGCTTTATCTGCGTTTGCTCAGAGTCACCATTCGTTGAACAAATCATTCATTCTAAACTAACAAATTTTGTCATTTCTTATTGAAATTCCTTCTGCTACTTCTGCAACACTACTACTAATACTACTGCTAGAAGATTGAAAATGTCTACAACACAAACGATCATATTTCGTCAGCATGTCAGACCAGTCCTCCCGTTTGATTGCATGAATCCAATCTTCTTGCATAATTTCTTATCATATTTGAAAAATGGAAACTATATGTTAGTGACTATCATAGTAGGTACTTACTTCTAAATCATAATGTACCAACCGGATTCCTTCGTCTCCAGCTGCATTTTTTGTGCATTGTACAACAGCAGAATATGATGATGGCATGCGCGATTTAATGAATAGCCGAAAAACACTCTTCCTATTCCAAAATAATTGTGAAAAACTATTTCAATAACTTGTAAACAAATTAGAAAAGTGAGGTTGTGTTTCAATGTTTCACCTCCAGGATCGGTCATCTGACATTTACCTATACATGCTATGCTTTTTTGTTGTGTGTTTCGCCTTGAAATATCATAATTTTGAAAATAATAAGGTTTCAGGTTCTTTGACAACGAAGCGGAGGCGATATGCGAGGCCCTGTACAAGGACCTAAAGAAGCCCAAGGCGGAGTCGATGGCCGGGGAGATTTGTATGGTCAGGAGGGAAGTGGCTGGTGCTCTGAGCAATCTGAAGAGCTGGATGGAGCCGGAGGAGGTGAAGAAGACAGTGGCGAATTTTTTCGACGATTTGTATGTTTATAATGATCCCTACGGTGTTGTGCTCGTTATTGGTGCGTGGAATTATCCTGTCCAAGTGTGCATGATACCTGTCGTTGGTAAGTGTCTTCAACTTTGATTAGGAACCTTTTCTATTTTATTTATTCAACTTTCCTGCAACTATGGATATATTTTATGTGCCTTTATTCAGATGACAATTGAAAAGCTTCCGTCTGTTAAAAGGCCGGTGCCCGTTATGAAATTAGAGAGTTGAAGTGTTGCTATGAACGTTCATGTAAACGTAGAAACTGACAGCTGAGCATGCACATCTTCAAATTCTTCACGTTTACGTTGATAGTGGGCTTACGGGTGTACGTTATCTCACATACTTTCACGCATCACGTGAATATCAATGTTCGTTAACCAAACTATACTCGAAATATGCCGATGAGTCAAAATTATCAATCTCGAGATCCCCAAGGAGTTCTTCATCAAGGACTCGTTTCATTTCAACACGAATAAAGGTTCAGATCTGAATAAACAACCAAAAATAACCGATACAAACCGGAAACAAAATTTATTATTACGTTACGATGACAGTGACAACTTCAACTAAATTTGATGACGATACGTAAACGTTCTTTTTCATACGTTAACGTCTACGTGGAGGTCTACGTACAGTGATTAATTCAACTCTCTATTATTGTGGTATTGTTAAGGTTTCTCATGACGACACGATGTTTGATTTTTTCTGTCGAACTACGAGGTACGTGGTTTGTTATTTCCTCGGAATCAGAATGACATCTTTCAGCGGAATTACGAAAAGTCTCGAACGACACACAGCTCATACACAAATAACGGATTCGGTTGTTATAATCCTCGGCTACGCCTCGAATTACAATATTCGGCCTCATCCGTTATTTGCTACATAAAATATGAGCCTTGTAACGTTAATAACTATCCACGGAAAAGTGTGAAATGAATTGTACTTTTTTTTCACGGTTGTTGCTAGGCGATGGAAGGAATGCTCGCTTGTTATGGATTCAGCGAGACTGGAGCGATTCATTCAAATTAGCCTAAGTTGGCTGATGTGGATATTTTCACAGTACAAACAGAATCTGCCGCCAGATAAATCTAAGGTGTTATATCTGAAACAATACGAGTATTTCATGACATGGCGTGAAGACAAAGAAATTGATAGATTCATATAAATGGAATGAGTTTTTTTTTATATTTTGCTGTAGAACATCTGTCTTTGGCGTCATGTGTCAACATTTCCTATACTCGTATAAAAATCCAAATCCAGGTTATCGATATCGTGGAGAAACTGATATACAGGGTCTTTCGGCAAGTCAATATCAACTGATATGATTGATGTGGAAAATTTCGGTATATTCAAGTTTCTGCAAAAACTGTTCATTTTAGATATACCCAGTGATTTGAACATGAAGTGAAGAGGAAGAGGGGGGGGGGTTACTAATAGAGAAAAAAACTTGTGTGCTTGGAACCACACGTCGGAAGTGATGGCCGGTCAGTATTTTTAATATCCTTTGAACAATACGGGGGAAATCTTAATAGAGTGATATTAGTTTTATGTGAAATGTCCACTTATTCGCGAAAAGAATACAGCCAGAAAGTAACCAACATTAAATCTGAACAAAACAGCAAAATTGAACAGGGGAAAGCATCAAGGAAAAATAAACTCATTTCATTGAATGTTCAAACTGAGCACCGTTCATTTCTTGACAGTACACAGAAAAAAATCATCTGGTTAGTACCAGTAATTTTGTTGCACTAACCATTATTTATGGTTAGCTCAGCCAGAATATCGTTATGGTTACAAATTGATATGGTATCGCAACGATTTGTATCTGGTAGTGCCTATATCAATCAGAATATTGTTACGGTGACACAATATTTTTACCGCATAGGCTGCATGTTTGTGAATTCCCTCATAGTATTACATAGACATTTTGAAAAGCAATTACTCCTGCTTGAATTCTTCGGATCTCCTTGGTTATTCTTGCAGCTAATTTCGGCCAACATTTGGTCTGTTGAAATGGACTTTGGGCTTCAAATCATAGAAAATAGAAAATAGTCCAGTAGTATAGATTGGGAGATCGCGCAGACCATACAATCGTAACTCATTTTCTGAGCGTTGAAACCAGATATCATTTGGTAGCTGTTCATTTTCCTCCAGCGCTGGAATGACTACTTGTGTATTAAACGTCAGATTCAAGCGTCTCTCTGCTTTCCAAGTGTCTTCTAAAAGAAGGTACTACCAACCTGTAGGAGTAAATATCAGCCCAAAATTTTCAGTTTTCTGGGATGTTGTGTATGTGCCTCTTGTTCACCTAGTGAGGATCAGTTTGCGACCAGTACCGGCAACTATGTCTATAAGCTTTACCATTCATATACCGAGTGATACAGACTCATGGTATATCCTCCTTTTCTTCATTGGTTTTCTAGCTATATTCCTGAAATTTGGAACATCGAGAATGCTCACCACAGGGCACTGTCTCACATTCAAGGCATTTCATTTTCATCTTCCGGTTTTTCTAGAAATGACATCAACTTTCGATTTTCAAATGGAACACCCTGTTTTGCATTGCATAATCGGTTAGAGATTATTATAACGAATTCAAAAATACCGGGTTTGATTGGGTTATTTCAAACGATTACGTAGATATTCGAGTTCGGAGTTTCCATAAGATCAATGGGTGTGACGGTGCAATATCGAATTTCAAACCCGGTATTGTTGAATTCGTTATTATAATCTCTAACTGATTATGGAATAAAATACAGGGTGTTCTATTTGAGAATCTAAGGTTGATGTCATTTCCAGGAATACCGGAAGATGACAAAAAAATCCTAAAATATGAAATAGTGCCATCTAGTGAGTTTATTCGATGTTTCAAATTTCAGAAATATAGCTAGGGAAATAAAGGAGAAAAGTGGGATGTACCATGAGCCAGTTTCACCCGGTATAGGTCTCTTATAAGACTAAGCACAATACACTTTGACCGCTATACCATGGTCCCTCAATATACTTCGTCGATTTTTTTCGATATCTCTGTTGTTATTAAAAATACTGATAAACAATGGTATATTGATGAATTCGTTTGCAGAATCTCTCTCGGATTTTATGAAAATATAAAGGGTTCGCTATTTTGAATAATAAAGTTGACGATAATTTTGGAGAAACCGAGAACGTGGCAACATTGGCATTGGCATTGAAATCATCTTGTACAGAAATTCAAAAAAATCTAACCAACGATATTAGACAGAGATATCGATTTGGATCTACACTTTTGCCCATCACTGTATAAATTGGGTTTTCGAGCGTAACTCACTGCAGCAAATCAACCTACAGCTTTTTTTTTCAAATTGTCAAACATCTTGATGTTTATCATGAATTAATTAGATTCGTTTCCATGTAGGTAGCCAATTAATGAATATAAGTAAATAGGTGCTCATTTAATTTTCAATTACACATAATGAGGTTTTCTTGACCTCGATTAGGTTTTTATATATCACAGCGTCAATAGAAATTTTACTAATAGTCTGGGTAGTGGATCCCGAAACTTGGAAGTCTTGAAGAATGTCCTTCCTGATGTTTTCAAGTACTTTTTGTTTCCCAATGGAATCTAAAAAGAATCGGAATCCGCAGGAATCCATTTTGGCACTCTTGAGCAAATTGAAACATTCAAGATGGCGGCCAAGAAGGCTTCCAAATCACACATCGGCTCGCGATAGGATAATCATTTCACTGTCTAATACTTCAATAATTGGATTATCTCCTGTCGAATGATGAAAATGGTTCTAAACAAGAATATCAATATCATAAGATCCGTCGACATTGTTTCCAAATTCACCGATTGGCTGAACGGTAAAAAAATTACCTAATGAATACTTATTCTTGTATCCTTCGAATGTCAAGAAAGCAGAGATGAGGCGCACAAGGTTTTGCGGAATAACATCAACTGAAATACCACACTTCAATAATCGTGATCAAAATGAATATATACATATTCAATTGGAAAGATCTTGGCCGATATGAGGAACTTCCTTCTTTGATATGGCAATGACAATAATTATAATTTATAATTTGACAAATCGAGTGATCTTGACAAAGAGAGACATAAGATGTTTTCGGAAACTTAATCTGGGTTGTTGACTCGATCCAGCGAAGTCACGTGACAAAAAACTCGGATCACCTACTCGTGATATATGCTCGTGATCAACGTTTACGAACGTGTCAGGTTAGGAATACAGAATTTAATCTTTTTTTACGTGGTTTCGTGAATTTGATAGACAAAAATGTGCACATTATTTTCAAGTACTTATTTGATATGATTACAAATATTTGTATTCACCTGGCAATTGGTGAACTTGTTTCATATGTTGTCGCACATTACCTACTCTCTCAGCTCATAAAACCACAAACTTCACACTTACCCAAATTCTCTTCTCTATGCATTACTAAATCAGATTATGGAGACTAAAAAGAAAATTTATATCACCAATAGAACTTTTTGTTGTTATTGTTGTCGTGGAGTGGTAAACTCCCGCGTTTTTCGATTGACATAAATTTTGTATAAACTGGTAATGTGCATGCGGTGTCCTTTGCGACTCTGGTGACCCTGCTTTCGAGTAGGGTCACGAAAAATCAACCCGAGTCAGTGATCAAATTCGCAATACTCAGGTATCCGAACATAGGTAGGTGACTCGGTTTGGGTAACTGAACGTTCAGGTTAGGGATCCGATCTACCCGAATAAGTTTCCGAAAACTTCTTTTGAGTAAATATATAGATATTGTTTATGCACGACTGGGCGTGAAGTAGCACTTTCCGCCAGGATTTGCGGGCGTAAAGTGGCACTTTACAGTCCGCGGACTACTTTACCCCTCGGCGTATAGGTGCCTCTAAATAAGCATTCCTGTATAATTCCGGACGTACAGTTCTCTTCATCCTGAGATGCGAAATTATATGATTGAACCCAAAATAAGATATCTGTGATGACATTAATTGACAGCAAATATAAAAGTCTACTCCTATTTCAAAAAATTGACTGGGTTACCATGGTAACATTGATTTCGTGATATTCTTGAGAGGTAAAATGAGAAATCAAATATACTGGTTTTGCATATAGAATGTATTATTTACCCATTTAGCACAGGTTGATCCCATCAGAGATATAAGAGGGAATCACATTCATGCCCCATATCACATCCGTGACTCTAATTGTGGGTCCCACTGAAATCACAATGACTGCTATTCCGGACCCTTTTGGTCATTTTATGATTCCCATGATGCCAAAAAATGAAACTCATACTACGTATTAAGCGACTTCCCATTCATCATCAAAATTGATTGATTATCTTTGTTACATAAATAAATAAGAATGTGAGGTTCCAGTGAGTCCCTATTGGTTGTTCTTGGAGCCTCATCACAAATCCACTTTAGGCAAATGTTGCGAATGTTTTGTGAAATAAAGAGTCCCCTGGCAATTCCAATGATGTTTTCTTGAAATTCAAATTGTTACCTAGGGAGACATGAATGTGACCCCCAGTGATGTTTGTGTTCACTGGGTATTTCGGGCGAAACTTCGCTAGAGAGATAGGTGTACAATGATGATACATCTAGCATTTCTTTCTGAGGTGCAGTGCAGTGTTGCGCTACAGGGGCTTGTGGTATACCTATTCCTCTCATGGTTTCTTCACCACTGATGAAAATGAGGTGGTTGACACATAACCTTCAACTTAAAACAACTGTTTTCGAAATATTTGACTCCAAATGATATCTTGAACAGGTATTTTTCATCATTTTCGATAGAAGATGATTGCAGAAACATTTCTCTGGGTGGTGAGTTGATATCAGATATCGGTCTTCAGCTGCGAGAAGAAATATTCATTCAATGCAGAAAGAAAAGAAAAACAATCTTGTGGTATTCAAAATGATGAAATATGCCTAATGCAAGCTACTATTTTTGGTGAAAAATCTAAAAAACTGTTCATTCATTTGAATTCCATCAGTAGCGTAGATAATATAGAGTTTTCACAATCTTCTGCAGTGCGTCACTAGATGTCTGAAGTAACTGTATCGTCAGAAATTGGTGTTTTTGAGGAGTAAATCATACACCTCAATTGAAAGAGGAGAATAAGGACATTTTTGAGTCATTCCGAAAAAGATTTTACAAATCACTTCAGAGCTTTTTGCTCCTATACCTAGATAATTCTTCAGCGAAACACGAGTGATATCACTTATGAAGCTTTGTCTTTCGAATTTCTCAATAGCCCGTATATATTGTTGTACTGAACATAATCCACTAGATATATTTAATTGAAGATCACAATATTCCAAAATCACTGAAGCTGAAACAGGGACAGCATATTTGATTACTAGTCACTAAAGTGCAGACTAAATCTTGAGGAATCAAACTGCACTCGGGAGAGAATCAAAATCCATCTGGCGAGAAATTAGTACACGTACATATCGCCCACGTAACAAAATTGTTATGAGAATGATGGCTCATATCAAAATAACGAGACATTTTTTAATCAGGTGCCATAGCTGCTGGTAATTGTGTTATAATCAAGCCATCCGAAGTTGCTTCAGCAACTGCTCAAACACTAGCAACACTCCTACCCAAATATTTAGACCCAGAATTCTACCCGGTGTTTTTAGGAGGTATCGAAGAAACTGCTGATCTGCTCAAAAATAGGTTCGACTATATCTTTTACACTGGATCTACTGAGGTGAGTCATTTAATCGATCGGATGATTTTAAGACCAGAATTCGAGCAGTGCCTTGTTATTGCCTACCAGCATTGATTTTTTTTATTAACGTTCATACTAGACCCATAGTGTTACCTTGTGGAACTCCATGGACATTTTGATAGATTCTTTACCATTAACTGGACTTTGCTTCTCTGAACCAAGCCATAGTTTCTTGTTATTCTCATCAGTATGATTGATTGAGGCCCGTATTAATAGTCGTTCCCTCAAGAACTCGTCAAGTCTCCCTTATCTGAGGATACCTTGGGGGTTCCTCAGCACTTGAAGTGGACCTCCCTTGAGTAATCCTTCTAAAAGGAGCACTCACACTTGGCAACAGTGTATCATATTAGTGTTCTGTGGCCAAATTATTTGTTCCATGTCAGGTGTTTGTCACAAAACAAAAAATGTCAAATTTGATAAAAACATTAAAATTTTCACTGTTGACATCGGATCGAAAGTATGATAATCGTTATGATGTGCAAAGCTGATAGTGATATTGGGCCAAACAACATGTTTCTTCGATCACAGATGATTAACAGAAAAAATATCTACAAGGTTCCGCAAAATGAAGAAAAGGTCGAAGAGATGAAGATGTTGGAAAATCACAATACAAAAATCACTCTACTAGCAACGGATTCTTTTGAGCTGCAATGAAATAATAATACATGGAGAGTAAGAACAACCCATTTGATTGAATATTTTGAATGAATCTTTGATTTTGTGTGGATGTTCATTCAAAATGTATGTATTTTGAACAAATTATCAAGATGATACCTATAAATATATAATTGTGAATATGCTGATTTTCCATTATTCGTACATACAGAGTGGGCCTTTGAAAACGAAACAGAGGCTCTGTAGGTCGCCAAAACCGAATTATGAAAAAGTCTGCACCACGTCAACTACATTTTCGAGAGGGACATCGTTCTAAAATATTTTCAGCCCTGCGACGTTGCCGCTTCTGAAGAAAAGAAGCAACAACTTTGTTATTTCAAATGGAACACCTCTTATTTTATTGCATTTTCAGATTCTCCCCGAAGAGCTGATTCCATCAATGCATCACACTTGATATCTAGCTGTAATGGTTTCAGGGATATAAAGTGTTCAAAATCGAGATTTTTCAAATTTAGCATTTTTTTGTGTCGAAACTATTCATTATTGGTCAAAACGGCTTCCATGTCCCTATCTCAACTTGTGATTTACTATCTACTGACATTTATTTGAAACAAATACAGGGTGGTTCAAGATTCAGAATTCTCATCACCCTGTATTTGTTCCAATTGAATGTCAGTAGATAGTAAATCACAAGTTGGGATAGAAACATAGAAGCCGTTTCGACCAATAATGAATAGTTTCGACACAAAAAATGCTAAAGTTGAAAAATCTCGATTTTTAACACTTTATATCCCTGAAACCATTACAGCTAGACCCTAAGTGTGATGCATTGATGAAATCAGCTCTTCGGAAAGAATCTTAAAATGCGAAAGAATACAAGGTGTTTCATTTGAAATAACAAAGTTGTTGCTTCTTTTCGTTAGAAGCGGCAACGCCGCAGGGATGAAAATATTTTAGAACGATGTCCACCTCGAAAATGTAGTTGACATGCTTCAGATTTTTTTTGAAATCCGGTTTTGGCGACCTACAGAGCCTCTGTTTCGTTTTCAAAGGCCCACTCTTAAACCTATTATTTGAAATAAAGAAAATTCACTTCTCAACTGAACTTGAATTCCTATCTATCGGCTTCTACTGGGAATCGATATCCTCGAATCAGTTTCTCTGTACAGATTTCAAGACTCGAATACTCATTTGATTTCTACATTCATTATTCCATTCATAAAATCCAGAAAAGCGTTCCAGATCAAACACTATTCAAACGCGTAAATTCAGATCCATAATATATCTGATTATGTACATATTCATAATATAATTGAAATAATACCAGCAAGTGGATCAAGGAATGCTCAAGGTACCTCTTCACCTTCCTTGGAATTTATATTTCCTTGAGGCTTCCTTCGAGCTCATAGTACGACTATGAATTGGAAACTGGCTCTTAAGGATACCTTAAGGGACGAGGTCACCTTGAGGAGCGATTATAAATACGGGCCTTATTCACTAATGTCAAGTTTATTTTTGCAAATCATTGATTCCAAGATTATGGAATCGAATGGCAGAATTGTAGAGAAAGAGCTCAATAGGTACTCATTGCAGGTTGGAAAAATCATACACCAAGCAGCTAGTAAGTACCTCACTCCGATTACTCTAGAGTTGGGAGGTAAAAGCCCAGTATATATTGATAATACAGCCAACTTGAAGATAGCTGCGAAGAGGATATTATGGGGAAAGGTGCAAAATTCTGGCCAAATTTGTGTTGGTCCAGATTACATTCTGTGTACGAAGGAGGTCCAAAAAGAACTCATTCCTCACATGGAAAAGGCCCTGGAAGAGTTTTTCGATGGTGAGTAAGAAACCTGTTTCCAAAATGCATATTTATAGCACTTCAAACTTTTTTCGAACTATGCGGTATACTGATATTTGCAACACCGAATCGATGTCGAGAGATGATTCACACTGGCTTGCAAACTTGTTCGATGCTTGCTCAGAGTTCGAATTTCCAGAACCTTGCTTGGTCGATGGTGCGGTTTTCTCGACCTTCAATTGACCTTCAATCATCTGGAGTATTTACTCATTTCATTCTTTACGAAGTATCCATACCACATTCAATTTTTGGATATTATGTCAGATATTATCAAGAATAAACATCAAGTATGGACATCACGATCAGCTATTCTTGAATGAGAGTAGAAAGCATTCCTATTATATCAAAGGAAGGAAGAAATGCTCGAAGTCATCTCCACAAATTTTAATGGTGTTGTTACATAATCATAAGGGACATGTTTCGGTCTTATAAAATACCATCTTCAGTCCAATTGAAAGTTTTGGAGTTTGATGCCACTAGTTGTGGAATTATTGTCAATGCCCATGGTCGAGAAATCAAATTATTAATGAAAAAACGGGTTTTCTAAGATCTTATAATGTTGAAATCACGTCTTGGGTAGGTACTGCTATACTTAAGCATATACATTGATTCTCAATACGTATGTTCGAATTGATAACTGAAAATCTTGTTATCAGAACAGAAGGGTATGCACAACAGAACCTTAGTGTCTCACTTTCTGAAGATTTCATGATGTTTTTCAACATCGAAGTATACTGTTTAGAAGAACTTACTGCGCTCCAAATGGACCTAACCTAATTTGAAACAAACAAAACAAACTTCTTCGTCCTTGTTCGCCCTGTAATAAGTTTGTCAAATCTGTAGAGTAAAATTTACCCACCCATTTTGTGGAGTTACAAGAGTAAACTCGATGTCAAAAACTCCAGTATTTGCGAAAGAAAGCCACAGGGTAAAATATACACAATCTAACAAAGGACCCCGCACATTTACTACGGAAAATGGCTTTCGGCTAATTTTTCTGAAAATTTCATATGTTTCAGATATTAGCGTCCTCATTACACAGTCCAATTTACAGATCGATCGTATGACCAGTTTTCGAGCTACAAGGTGTCAATCATTTTATCTGGTATTTTGCATCGATTTGAATTATGTGCTTTAAGTCGTGATAAATCTTTAGTAGAAATAAACGCTACACGTCTAATTTCCTCCTCATGAATCCCTGTATTCGAATAGATAATAATATCACATACAGGGTATTGCATTTCATCATGACAAGGTAATATTCCTGGGAATAGACTAATATTAAAAATATCAGAATTTCGATTTTCACTCAATCACTGAAAACTTGAAAACAAACGGCTTCAATCGGCCAATTATTTGACACACTATGAATCTTGATCATCAACATGAGGATTCATATGATTTCCTCTGCATGATACGATGCCCGATTTGCCATATATAGGGTGATGACAATTTAAAAGCTTAGAATTGATGTAACTCATGTACAAAATGATATACATATCACGAATGTTTCATAACTGTTTATATAATATATGAAGTGGAAAATTAAATGTCTCATGAAATACCCCCACCAACCCCCTGATATATTATCTAAACAGTTATGAACCACTCTTGATATGTATCTCATTTTGTACATCAGTAACATCAATTATAAGCTTTCAAATTGTCATCACCCTATGTATGGACATTGTATCAGGAGAAATCATATAAATCCTCATGTTGATGATCAAGATCCATAGTGTGTCAAATAATTGACCGATTCTAGCCGTTTGTTTTCAAGTTTTCAGTGATTGAGTAAAAATCGAAATTCTGATATTTTCAATATTTGTATGTGATATTATTATCTATTCGAATAGAGTGATTCATGAGGTAGAAATTAGACGTGGACCGATTATTTCTACTGAAGATTTTTCACGACTTAGAGCACATAATTCAAATCGACGCCAAATATTCTAAACAGCGAAAATCAAATGATTGACACCCTGTAGCTCGAAAACTGGTCATAGGATCGATCTGTGAATTGGACTGTGCAATAAGGACGCTAATATCTGAAACATATCAAATTTTTAGAAGAAGTAGCCGAAAGCCATTTTCCGTACTAAATGTGCGGGGTCCTTTCGAACGCAAAGGAGCAAACTCTACTCCACAGAATACGTATTCGAACGCACTCCTGAAGTTGTCCTCCTAGATATGTTGACTGACGTATTAATCCAAATTTTCATAGTGTCATCATAGGTGGAGAAATATTGAGTGCTGCTTGTTTTTGAATTGTTACCTTGTATTCCCACTAGGTAATATCAAAACCAACGAGGACTATGGCAGAATTGTCTCCCAGAAACATTTCAATCGATTAGCCAATATGCTCAAGAACCAAAAGGCAGCGATAGGCGGGAAGAGCGACGAATCAGACCTATTTGTCGAACCCACAGTCCTGATAGACGTCAAACCAGAAGACCACGTTATGCAAGAAGAAGTCTTCGGGCCGATCATATCGATCATCAATGTGAAAGACGAAAATGAAGCCATCGAATTCATCAACGACAGGGAGAAGCCGTTGGCACTGTATATCTTCACGAACAGTAGTAAAGTGAAGAAAATGTTCTTAGAGAGGACTTCCAGCGGAGGAGTTCTCATCAATGATACGGTTATGCATTTGATTGCTGATGGTTTACCTTTCGGAGGAGTTGGACATTCTGGTGAGTTCAAGCGATTTTCTAACCAAATCAATAAACACATACCAGGTGTCAACTTATTCATTGAACAAGCCTTGGTTGCCAGAATTCTGGAGGTATGATATTCAATAATTGTACAATTATTCGATATTTACTTTCCCACCACTTCTGGTTTCACCGCAACCACCTTCTATTCTCAAATGGGACACCCTGTATCTCATTCCATAATCGGCTAAGGATTATTATAAGGAATTTACTGATACCGGGTTTGATATGGTTTTTTTCGAACGATAACGAAAATATTTGCGCCCGAAATTTCCATTTGCTCAATGGATGTGACGGTGCAATATATTCGCGGCTGGAAAGACGAACGTTTTTTAAAAAGTAATCATTTTTTCAATTCTTACTCCTTATTAAAATTGTTATCAGATTTTGTTTCGTTATATAGTTGATTCAGTTCGAGAATATCAAGTAAGTGTGAAAAAGTAGACAATTCAAAATGCTACTGAAACTTTACTGTTTCATATGATTCAGAACAAACATTCGATGCAAATGGAATCGGTTTGGTTATAATTTTGAATTTCCCCGAATACTTTGAAAACGGTTTCTGATATTTCCGATTTGGAAACATCTTTTCCATCATTGTATACAACGACAGGTAACTTCTGCCTGTTTCAACCAACTTGGTATCATTTACCGATTTCGAGATGATAATAGTGGTACCTCTACAACAATTCAGAGGCCAAATTCCATATTCCAGTCCACGGTTTCAAAATTGAAATGTTTGTTGATGCTGCAATTACCTCTGTTTGTTATTATTTTAATTATCTCCAATAATTGCTATTTAACCAACTAGTGTAATAAGAGGCTGACTATAATGATCGAGACTATGTACGAGATCATTAATCACCACATTAATTTACGAATTGATTACGAAATTTTTCCGTCGACTAGATTTCTCCTGTAATGGAAGAACATCTTAGGTCCGCGAATACATTATAAACCGAAAATAAGGATTTCATCGAAGATTTTACATTAACAGGTGAGCATTTCAGAGTTTCTGAACCGATTTTGATCCTGTTTGCTAACACAAAAGGGATTCATTTCCCATATTGATGATTTCGACAAATGTCAAATGTCAGAGAAGAGTTTATTTTCATAGCTACTAAGCAATTGTAGTAGTTTCCGGATTGATGAATGCATATTCCGAAAGTTATATCCCCAACAGTGAAAATATGCGGTGTACCTATGTTTGGTTGCCTTCACCATAATCGTTCGTTTATTGAGAGATTGATCGTTTATAGGGGTCATAAACAATCAATTTCGTGTACATCAATTGAACTTGTTAATACTGTTGATACGATGTTGACGGAAAATATAATTTATAAAATATTTTTGACTATTGGTATTTTTTGAACTTCAATCACAACGAATTGAACAACGTTACTAATTATTGTGGAAACATGATAAAACTAAGTTTAATAATCAAATATGATTTTTTTCCCTCTGAATGTTACTCAAGGAGGATTCATGCAGCAAAATTTGAAACTTAAATGAATTTTAGACTCAAACCAATAATATAAAACTCTAACATGTGATGTAGGTGATCATGCAAGACTCTAAAAAATTGAAACTAAAATTAAGACTAAGGAAGATGGTCAACCTTCAACTAAGAAATTATTTTCTTCCATAATCCACGACAGCGCATGCGTCAAATAATAACTAGCCGCGCTGGAAAAAGATTAAACAGCTGATGAAAGGTTATTGCTTGAACACCCATATATTTTCAATCTAAAATTCGTTTAAATCTCAAATACATTATAATTTACTTGATGTTGCAAGAATCCACCTTGAATCTTCATTATTTTGATCCATAGGTCTACTTTCATGATGGTGATCTATTTTGTTATTTTTCGGATGTCGTTTATTTTGAGAATCAATCAAATAAGGGAATTTCATATTTCGTGTAAGAAAATTTTATTATATCATTCGCAGAGGGCTTTCGGCTAATGAGCCATCTTCAGTTCTATACCTGAAAGTAAGTAATTTTCTACGAAATGTCAATGGAAAGGAGTAGATTACTTACTCGTCGAGTAGTTACGAAAAAGGTCCAAAATTCAATCGACGACATCAATATGGTACAAACGGTAGTGAAAACAGACATACATTTAACAAATAAGTACCCCAATGAGATTATTGTAGAATTTCAAATGGATTGTTATAACATTTTGTTCAGGTTCGAAGGAGAGCACGAGGGACTTTAAACAAGAGTCTCGAGATCATACCCGTGTGTTCACCGAACACGCTCGATCGTTACCTAAGCGGTGGGGAGACCGAGACCGTTGATTGATATATTACGCTTACGCTGGGCAGCTTTGTTATTCAAAATGGAACACCTTATATTTTATTACATTTTTCGATTCTTCTAATTGAGCTATGATTTCGTTGATCAAGCTCAAGGTATACCTATACGTAGAATGTGAAAAATCGAGATTGTTTTTGTATCGAAACTATACAATAATACCTATATTGATTTGTCAAAATGGCTTACATGTGTCCCTATCCTAACATTCTATTTACTATCTACTGATGCCATTTAATTGAAACAAATACAGGGTGGATCAGATTTCAGAATTATATGAAAGAAGTACTATAGTATGCCTACTAAAAAAATATATATATTTGAATTAAACAAAACAAATATATCACATGAAAAAACACACTCTAATATTCATTATAAAATAAAATTCAATCCCACTGGATGTATTTAAAAATATAAACAGTGTGCATGTCACTTCTATAATGGAATATCAACCCGTATATCTAACGTAACTGTTCAATTTTAAGGAGCGATAGATATATATACCAACTATGACCAAAGTGAGGTAATCTTCAGTGAAAAACACTGCTCTGGTCATGGACCCACCAACATTTCCGGAAAATGATATTAGGAGGCAAGATAGGTTGAAAATCACTTCGGATTCGAAATCAGGACGTAACCCTGTAGGACACATGTTTATATGACCTTTATTATATCACAAGGAATCATCCCTTGAATTATTTCGGTGTTATTTAGATACACCCTGTATAGATCATTCTTCATCCCAATATAGTTATTCAACATTTTTCCCATAGCGAAGTTCAGCAAATACCGATGGCGAGAGCACTATGTTTATTGATTTGATGTCTACCTATAATATATGTAAAACAAGAAGGCACAATAACTACTAGTGTTCCGTTTCGAAGTACATTAAATTGACAAATTTGACACCAAAATAATTCAGGCACGCGCCAATATTCATAACGTAGTTACTGCTGCCCGTTTACGTTTCCCCACCGCTTAGGGAACGATCGGGCGTGTTCGGTGAACACAAGGGTATGATCTCGAGACTCTAGTGGACTTTAACCTCAATTAGTCTGACGTGACCTTGAACATATTAAATATTATATATTGTTGACAGACTAAGTGTCAATGCCCATGAATGAATTGACATATGAGTGAGAAGTTGACAAATGATATAGTGGCACAGAGCACAGACAAGTAGAAGAAAGATATCGTTTCTGCATGATGAGGGACTACTTTTGACCTAACTCGATCAACCTGAATGAACCTTTTCTCCTGAAAAGTATATTTTTCGAAAAATTACTTAGGTGAAAACATAAGGTTATAAGTATGCGTAAGGAAAATATCGTTTCTGCATGAAAAAGGCGACTTCTTTCAACCGAACTCGTCCTAAAACTGATCATTTTTCTGAGAAGTATATTCTTCGAAAAATTATTTGTGAAAAAAGTAAAAAAAAAAAATTGTCGCCTCGTCTGGATTTGAACACAAGCCACCACCGTGGAAGTCAGATTGGTACACAGACTACTGAGCTATCGAGCTACACGACGGTTCTAACTATGAAGGAAGTAGAAATATCTTGTGTTTGCTCGTTTATCACAACAAGCAGCACAGCAGCATGCTACTGAATAAATTACTTGCGTGAAGAATTAATGCAAATGGTCCATTTTTTTTTCAAATAGAATGAGATAAAATGAACTTCATTCCAGGCCGAAGAGTATTAACCTTCATGGAAAACTGAAGGAAGTGACTTATTCCATTCAAGACTTAAGAGTCCTAGTGTATCCTCGTAGTCGAATGTCTCATAAGAAACGAACATGCAATAAGGACAATTCCTGACTTAGAGCGAATATCGAACTCAAGTCCCGAATGCGAGCCAGATTTTGAGTATAACCGACAATATTATATCAACAACCTTTATGCATATGCCACTGCCTAACATTGAAATGGCTGGTGAGCCAAGAAATTGACCATTATACCATGAACAATATTCGATACCATTTTAATTGTTGCGTACATCATCTTCGAAGAACATGTCCCATATGTACGATAAGATTTTGTCTCAAAAAATCATTCAAGGATTATCGCTTTTAAGGATCAGTTTTCAATTATGAAACACCAAGTATTATCCTAGAATCAGGCTTCTCGATTTCTTGTTGGGCCACCTATCACAAGAACCACTCTGAAGGCACTTTCACTGTTGCATTCCAATGATAGTGATATGATTGATTATAGTGTCTGGATCATGACAAACTCAAATTAACCTATATTTCTGATTTTCAGGTATGGGATCATATCATGGAAAGAAGACCTTCGACACTTTCGTTCACAAAAAATCGGTATTATCGAAAAGCTTCAACTTGATTGCAGAAAAAATAGAATCCTTGAAGTATCCACCATACACCAAATTCAAATCAGGTTCATTAGCTCTAGTGATGAGGTAAGTTGAAGACCGTCCTCCTACTAATTGGCAGATCACACAAGATATACGATATTTTCTTATCTTCTGGAGTACACGAAAGGTAATCCCAATAATGTTCGAGGAATATTGTGCGCATGAAGACAGAAAGGGAGAGAAAGTATTGGGTGTTCTCAACTTTTGGAGGTTATACATTTTTGTGGATGATTCCTTCGGCAAAGAATTCCAAAGCTTCGCCATTCTATAGACAAACGAGTCCTGATAAAGATTGTCCGACATATCTTGAGGTTGACGACAAAAGGAGGAGCTGACTGGGCTTGTCGGGTACGTGTTACTCGTATTGCTATTGATAGAATGATTCATAACATTTTCCGTGGATGTCTACAGAGAAATGGAAGGTCACTGATTTACTACGGTATTCTCTTGATGTCAAGGAAATAATAGTGTGACCATCACCAGGGTATTTTTTCGTGGTGAGTAGAGGGGCTATGTTCATTTTGGACCAAGCCAATCACCATCATTTCATTTCATTGTATAAAAAAAGTCCTATCTTCAGAAGAGATCTCTCGCATCGCTCGGCAGTGTGTCGACTTTCCAACGTCTGCACATGGTGGTGACATGGCGTTGCATGAGTATTTCGAATTTAGCGCCAGTCTCTGATTGGTTTAGTGGGCGTGGCCTTCAACCAAATGCTGGCCTCTGATTGGCTTAGTCCAGAATGAACATAGCTCCTCTACTGTGGTGATACCCACAAGATTCATTGACAGCGTTAACTTACTATCGTCGAGAGTTCCTAGTTTTCTGGATTTATGTGGAAAATCTGGAAGATAATTCAGTATGGAGAGTAGGTGCTGTCGTAGAAATAAACAATTAGTGAAATTCCTTACGACTGCTTTAGCGAGAGACCAAAACGAAAGGAAGCCATGGGGACAATTATTTTGATAGAATTTTGGTATTGTCTTCTGATGCATTAATTTTTGTCTTCAACATATTCTGTTCGAGTCACGGGGTTTCCGCGTCAGCGATGGTGATGATATTTTTGAAGAATGAGGTATATCTGTCCATTCGTAACATGATGATCTCGGATATTTTCTCTCCACACTGTGAAAGATCCTCAGGATATAATGAAATCACTTTTCGTGAAGACGAGGGTGAATTCATGGACAGCTTATTGCTAATTAAATGATATTCTTCGACAATTAGTGACATACTCATACTCATTTCCATAAAATTGTCATAGGAATAAACGAAATTAGGAAAAAATATTGGAAATAGCACTCAGGAAGAGTCAACCGCAGACACGTGAATCATGCTTTCGGCAATCATCAATACGGTGAAAAAAGTGCAAAAGATAGGCAACACTCGGTGGAAGACGAAACAACAAATCGGTAGATAATAGAAGGAAAACAACTACTTCCTTGGCTGTATGCCATGCAAAACACTGAAATAGGGCAGGAACTGGACTGCTGTCTAAGGCGAAAACTAAATCTTCGAAAGCCCAGCACAGCATTTATATGCATAGACGCGCAGTCCCACGACGCCATAGAACCGCGACATCTAGAACTGCAAGGAAGAATCACTTCAACATTTTATTCTCATTCCGCAGAGAAATGGGAGTTACTCAGTTTCCCACTGGCGTTTGTTCAACTAGGTACCTACAAAAAAGCAAAAATTTTCAAAGTGAAATGAATTGGTCATAATGGGGTACACTCAGTCTCTTTCCTAAAATGTTCATAAAACGAACGAAAATGGTCTATAACTGAAGAAAAACAACTAATTCTATTATTCGAAGTCAAATTATATGATTTAGTTTGTATCAAACGTTGAAATAACTTATATAGTGTTCATATAGTGTTTGGGATCACACGTTAAAAGGTAAGGCCCCCGTCATTCCTTGCTCGCACAAGACTTTCGAAGACTTTTGAGGGTTGCTCGTAAGGGGGCAACCGAATGACGGATAGAACAAATTTTAGAACAAAAATATTCTGTTGTTTCAGTCAACTGTCTTACTGCTCGATGATGTACCTGTTATATTGACTGATTACCTATTCATCAAAGGTCTGTTTCTAAAGAAGTCGTTCGGGTTGTTGAGGATGAAGTCTCATCATTGATAATTATCAAAGTTTCATTTCAATGTCTGATAGTTGTTGTTTATTGTCACGGATTGAATGAAAGGAATGAAACGGTTGAATAACGTGTTATGAATAATTTTTTGTTTGCAAGTCCATTTCAACTTTGGATATCTGGGGCTAGACCTATTCAAGATTATACATGAATTGTTGATCTATTATGCTCGCCCCTGTGATCCACTTTTGGAGTGATTAATGATATTCTATCAGGAGTCTGTGATGATTCCTTCGAATATCTCGAATTATTTCCTCTCTCTCCTTGTTTCTCTAGAAGATCCACCAATGAGTTTAATTCTTTATGTTGTTGTCGATCAAGTACTGCTCGTTTGAACCTTCAAGTATTTATGCATATATTGGCATTTCTCAAACATGTTAAGGGTCGATGTATTGTAGATCTAATTCATCTTGTTGTGCAATTATAAGCTTCTTCAAATTATTCAGGTACCCGAATAAGAAGTAACTATTCAGTAGTTGTGATTCCTAGGGATTTTGAGCCTCTTGCTTTCTATACCAGTGTGAGTTGATTCGTTATTGTTGTTATAAAGCTCTTTTTTTTCAGATACAATAGAAGTCTTCCAACAAAGTATGTCCCACATTTGTGTGCCTTCGTTTTAGGGATAGCTGCAACTGTTGGATGTTATTACTTGAAAAGATATGTGAAGATTTGTTATGCATCTACCCAGATAGAACAAATACCTTTTGAGAACCTTTTGAGGCGTTCACAATAATGTCCTCAGGACGTCGAGGGCGAGCCTGAGGATGTCCCTAGCCCGTCCTCCTGTTACCATTCTCTTCATCCTAATAACGTCTCAGAACATTCTTATAAGGTCTTCTGGGACATGTATAGGACATTATGGGAACATCTTTAGGTAGTATTCAAAAATGTCTAGGGATAGATTGATATAAATGAAATTTTATTGAAATAATATGGATATCATGATATTTGCGTAATTTCCCTGGAATAATAATATGTTCAAATAAAAAACTCACATTCTATTATTTATAACTTATTGGTGAAGATTTTCGAGTTTTGTTTTGAAAAAATGTATCTCAGCTCCTTGTTGAGCTCTACTAGAAGTTATTGCCCATTGATAATATTTCTCTATGTGGTTTTTGATTTCTCAACTCTGAATATGCTTCCTGAGGCTGAATCTACTGAAAGTTGAAGCCTTCATACAATTTTCTATAGATGACATCAAGTTTGTGTTTTCCATAACCTTCTGGAACAAACAATGATTCAATATCTCATATCCATGTAATATCTATGATTTGATCCACCTACACCTTTGTTCCTTTCTTCCTCAGAGAAATCTCATTATCAACAGATAATAAATACTTTATGATGATTTTTGTTTTGTTCTAATTCTGTTGTGAGTTCTCTTCATGTTATCATTTGTGATTTCTGAACCCTGAACATACTTTCTGATGCTCAATTTACTGAAAGTTCAAGCCTGCATACAATCTTTCATGGATTCCAAAGAAGCCAAAATATCTTTGATTTGAACATATCTGCTCTGATGATAGCATCAAAAGTTTGTGTTCCCAATAACCTCCTCAAATGAATAATGTATTAATATTTTAATAATCATGTCCAGTACCTATCAATATTTTGATTTATTTACCTACCTTCATTGAATGTACTGAGAGTTCAAGCCTGCATATAATCTTTTATAGATTCCGAAGCCAAAATTTCTTGGAATGAAACATCTCTGCTCTGATAATATGATAATATCAAGTTTGTGTTCTCAATAACTTCCTGAAACAAATAATGTATCGATATTTTATGTCTAGTAGGTATACCTACTATCAATATGATTTGATTCCTACCTAGTACCTTTATTGTATCTATACTGAAAGTTAAAGCCTGCATATTAGTTATTTATGTAATAAGGATCATAAAGACGATCATTATGGTACAAGTCGTGAATGTTATCGGGCGAGGCGTAGCCGAGTCCGATAACACGGCGTGTGCCATAATGATTGTTTATGATTCGTATTACATACAAAATTTTATCTGATGGCATTTATATCAATACATTTTCGAAAAATTAAAAACTGCATTTTCGACATGTCACAATGACAACTATTTTTAAAGGAGTAAGTATTGTGTAGTTTCAAATATTAGTAGGTGAGTGAGCTGTGCTTTGCCATTATATTAATATTACAAATTGTAGTAATTGTTCTTTTACCATTTATAATAAATAGTTTTGTACATATAGTTATGCATTTTGAATAAACTTTTTTGATCAAACCATTACATGTTCTCCTTATAGAATTTCATTATGGTACTTAGTCCCATAATGAGCTTCCTTATGTCATCAAAATTGAGTGACATAACGTTGTCATTATGACATGCCATCAGATAAAATCTTTTATAGATTCCGAAGAAGCCAAAATATGTTAGAATATCAAACATCTCTGAAATAAAATAATATACTCAATATTTCATGTCCAGTACCTACTATCAATGATTCGATCAATTAATTACCTGTATTTCTTATTATCTTATCAATTTCTCAGAGAAATATTATAATGGGACATAACCTCACTTCTAGTATTTCTAGTTCTTCTTCTTCTTCCTTTTGGCTTCGTCGACACGTTATTTCATGGAATGTCATCTGAAGACATCCGTAGGCACACAATCCGATGCAGCCAAGGGCTGTCACTGAAATAACTTTTCTAGGACAATTACGGCACTAAATCTATGCCTGATGATGTTCTTAGGTTGTAGAATACATAACGTCCTCTCTAGGCGTTTGGCGACACATTGAGGATGACCCTAGGCGATTGTGTGCTATCTGGGTATGTAATCGCGGTAATCGATAATGTTTGCACAGTAGATGTTAAGAGATTATCGGAGTGATAGCCGTTTTCAGATCAGGATTAAGAGACTCATTTCTAGATTCAAATTGCTTTATATCCTATAATACTGCTGAAAATGATAAATATTTTGTGGAGCTGTTTATGAATCATTTATAGTGAAAAATGCAATGAATAATAGGTATTACCCCCACATCACATGCATGTTGAATATACGTACACTGTACGTTCATTTTGGAAGTTCAGGATGTCCATAATTATAAACATTCTACTATATTTTAACAATATATGTGCATATCTGGACATCCATTGGATGTCATGAGAATACCACTTTGGACGTACAATGGAAGCATACCGAACTAGAGTTCATGAATGATTAGACTTAAAAGTGTTTAAAAGTGTTTAAAAGTGTTTTTAACCGCCAGCTTAGTTGCAAAGCAACCCTCGAAAGTCAGAGACTTGTGTGAGTTAAGAAGACGGGGACCTTAGCTTTTTAAGTGTCATCCGAAGCACTACTCGGCTGGTAACCGTGGACAGTCCAAAGGATTGATATCTAGGTACCAAGAATGTTGGGTTGGCCACCTATCTCCTCCCGCCCAACGAAACTACCGAAAATTAATTCAGTGCTCGCGCCGGGGATCGAACCCGGACCGCCTGGGCAACAGCCAGCGACTCTACGCTCACGGCCACCAGCCCAGCTTGAAACGGTTGAACAGGCGTTCAATTCAGAATACCCAATGAATACGTTTTTTTCGTACTCAATGGGTAGTGATGAAGATTTAGTATATAAGGGAAAGCAAATGAGAATGCCTAGTGTACGATACCTACATATCATGTACCAAAGAATAATTATTTTATGTCTAATTTTCTAGTGAGCTAATGAACAGATTTTGCATACTCATCGAGAAGTTATTTCCAATAAGATATATAATTGTAGCAATTGCCATCAAAAATCACAAATTCTAATATTTACTATGATTCTCTTTATGTTCATTATGCATTTACTAGATATATAAATGTCATGATGCAAATTGTATACTTCTATAATGTATAATAAATATACCAAACATGATTTTTGTTGTTATAATCTTGATTGCTAAGTGAACAGTTATCAATAATTATTTTTCAAAAATCAGTGTGTTCATTTTCTAGTGAGCTAATGAACAGATTTTGCATACTCATCAAGAAGTTATTTCCAATAAGATATATAATTGTAGCAATTGCCATAAAAAATCACAAATTCTAATATTTACTATGATTCTCTTTATGTTCATTATGCATTTACTAGATAAATGTCATGATGCAAATTGTATACTTCTATATTGTATAATAAATATACCCAACATGATTGTTGTTGTTATAATCTTGATTGCTAAGTGAACAGTTATCAATAATTATTTTTCAAAAATCAGTGTGTGACATTGATTCTTTCAACTTCTTCATCAGGGTGTCCCACTAAGGTCGGCGAGGTACGATATTACGGAAGCCATTAACTTCACAGCTTCGGGAAAAAAAATCTATCGATGAAATTGGCAAAGAGAAATTGATTTAAAATATTTTCAAGTTTCTCAAATGACCGATAGGGGGCGAAGTTACCATGATAAAACAAGAAATTCAAATTATCTCAGGAAATCGCTCGGTGAGGTAATTTTTTGATAACGGAAATCAAAAAATCATTAATTTTGGGTCAGGTTGGTATATGGACTTTTTTTCGTATCTTGGATAATAATGGTGGGGGAAGCTTGAAAACAAAATATTTTTTAAATTGCTGTATCTTCCTTACCCTATATCCAAATTCAATCATCTTGGGCTCGTTTGAAAGATAATTTCACTCTCATTTCAAAACTAATTTTGTTTATGGTCGCTAGTTCACACCGCGTCTAATAGAGGGCGCCGTTTACTAACCATTACTTTTTTTAGATTTTTCTCGAAAAATTCAAATGGAATGATACATGTTCACACCATTTGTCAAGAAGAGCATCAAAATAGCTACATTTTAGCGCAAACCGCGATTCGATATCTTCATTTGTCTTCAAGTTATTCGCGAATAACTAATTTTTATGTATGGTATCTTCAGTGAGTGGGCCTTGCGAACAAAATAATTAATTATAATCCTAATTCTTTGCTCTATAGTAGTGAAAAAGGTTATCCTTACATTCCTTAACCTCTTGTTGCATTTGTGCATTGGATTAATATTTAAATGCCACTTACTTCAGAAACAAAAATGTAGACTATGTCAACAATTGAACTGCAATAACGAAAATTATAATTTATTCAGGAAATTCGACATAAACGACATCTTCAAAATGAACGCATAAAATGATGTCCTCACATCAAGTGTTCGAAATGCATCCCATTATTTTCAATGCAGCGATTCAATCTGCGTTGCGTGCTTGATACTGCTCTTTCAATTTCTACTCTTGGAATACTGACAATAGCATCTCGAATACGTTGCTTCATGATTTCTGCAGTAGTTGGACGAGTTTGAAAAACAATGTCTTTCAGCTTGCCCCATAAATAAAAATCAAGCACAGTGAGATCCGGGGATCTAGGCGGCCATGGAAACAAACTTCCTCGTCCGATCCAGCGGTTCGGATATCTTTGGTCCAAAAAGTCACGAACTACCCGAGAATAGTGTGCAGGACATCCATCATGCTGAAACCACATGTCCCTCCTCATTAATAATGGAACATCTTCGAGTAGAAGAGGCAATTGGTTCCTCAAAAATTCTAAATAAATATTTGTATTCAAATATTCATCGATGATAATCCGACCGTCGAAAATGCCACACCACACATTAATACTCCATCGGTTTTGATGGTCAACTTCACGCATCCAGTGGGGATTATCAGCGGACCAGTAATGCATGTTATGCAAATTGACTTCTCCAGTACTTGAGAAAGTAGCTTTATCAGTCCACAATATGCGTGACAAAAAATTCTGTTCTTCGCCAATCATATTTCTTAGCCAATAGCAGTAATCTAGTCTACGTTCAAAATCCAATTCCGATAGGGCCTGATGTAATTCTACGTGATATGGATGGAAGTTATGGTCCATTAAAATCCTATGTACCGATGTTCTACTAATTCCTAAGTCACGTGCAATTGTCCTTGTGCTAGAATGAGGACTTACCTGGACGTAGGCAAGAACATTAATGATATTATTTTCATTCCTAATGTTCCGATTTCGTATTGGTGGTGGAATAGGATGCACCTGTCCTGTCTCCCGCAGTCGTCTACCCAATCGGGAAAATACTCTTCTAGTAAAATGTCTCCTATCAGGATAGTTAGCTGCGTATACTCGTTCTGCCACAGCAACATTTTCGAAACATTGAAAATAAACCGCCAACATATCATAGGCTTCCCCGATAGAATAAGACATTTTTAAATGAATTTCAAATGCACAAATGTCAGAATACCTCAATATGGAGGTTGCCTGGCAACCAGCTCAGTTGATGTTCAATTATTCTCACAGATATCATGATTGAAGTGAATAAATAGTGTATTCTTTTTAAGAAATAATGTTTCAATGGACAATAAGTTATTCGCGAATAACTCGAAGACAAATGAAGATATCGAATCGCGGTTTTCGCTTAAATGTAGCTATTTTGGTGCTCTTCTGAACCAATGATTTGAACATGTATCATTCCATTTGAATTTTTCGAGAAAAATCGAAAAAAAGTAATGGTTAGTAAACTGCGCCCTCTATAAGACGCGGTGTGAACTAGCGACCATAAACAAAGTCAGTTTTGAAATAAGAGTGAAATTATCTTTCAAACGAGCCCAAGTTGATTGAATTTGGATGAAGGGTATGGAAGATACAGCAAGTCAAAAAATATTTTGTTCACAAGCTTCCCCCACCATTATTATTCAAGATACGAAAAAAAGTCCATATACCAACCTGATCCAAAATTAATGATCTTTTCATTTTTGCTATCAAAAAATTACCTCACCAAGCGATTTCCTGAGATAATTTGAATTTCTTGTTTTATCATGGTAACTTCGCCCCCTACCGGTTATTTGAGACACTTGAAAATATTTTAAATCAATTTCTCTTTGCCAATTTCGCCGATAGATTTTTCTCCCGAAGCTGTAAGGTTTATGGCTTCCATAATATCGTACCTCGCCGACCTTAGTGGGACACCCTGTATATGGTACGTTACATAAATACAAAAAGCTCGAAGTCATTTCCACACAATGTTCATAAAATGAACAACAATGGTAGATTTTGGGAGAAAAACAATACGATTGAAAATTAGACTATACAGGGTACGGAAAATCGACCGACAACGTTTGATATGTGATAGCCTATTTCTAAGGCAGGGACATACGGTATTCCAGTGTTCAGTTCTCGAGATACATGATGATGAAATTGAGAAATGAAAATTGTATTTCCGCAACAACCCAAGAGTGGTTTGCTAGATCATT